TGGGGGATCACTATTCTCCTGAAAACCACATGAGAAAAAAATCAAGAGGTTTGATTGATTTGATGCTGGGATTTTTGGAGCCAATCTGAAAATCCTCTTAAGGTCCGCTGGGCAGCAAGCCATTAAAAAGAGCAGCGTTCTGCTGAGACCAGGGCAGTGAAGTGAGCCATATGAAGAGAAAAAAGAGAGATGGAAACACAGAGCAACCAGGGCTCAATCAGCTCCTGGAGGAACCTTTAGAGAAACCTTTCATCACTGCTACAGCACAGGTCCTGTCCTTTTATATCCTTTCATTTCCACATTTCCAACACAGATTGACAGCACTGCTCTAGGAATCTCAATATTTCATTTTATCAATAACCCTGTCTCAAATAAAAAAAACAGTAAGTCTGAATCTGGTTCTCACCACATATCAAACAACCTGTTGAAGAAGTTGCTTTCTTTTCTTCTTTTTATTTGACAAAAAATAAGGGTAAAAATTACTTAAAATAATTAATTATTAACATACAATCACTGGCCACTTTATTAGGGACACCTTACTAGTACTGGGATGGTTAATCTTTTGGCAAATTCTGCCAAAATCTGACTCTACCATTTGAATGTCGCAAAAAAAATCGAGACTCATCAGACCAGGCAACATTTTTCCAATCTTTTATTGTTAAATTTTGGTGAGCCTGTGCGAACTGAAGCCTCAGTTTCCTGTTCTTAGCTGACAGAAGTGACACCTGGTGTGGTCTTCTGCAACAGTAGCCCATCTGCCTCAAGGTTTGATGTGTTCAGAGATGCTCTTCGGCATACCTCGGTTGTAACGAGTGGTTATTTGAGTTACTTTTGACTTTCTACCAGCTCAAACCAGTCTGGCCATTCTCCTCTGACCTCTGTCATCAACAAGGCATTTGTGCCCACAAAACTGCCACTTACTGGAAATTTTCTCTTTTTTGAATCATTCTCTATAAACACTAGAGATGGTTGTTTGTGAAAATCCCAGTAGATCAGCAGTTTCTGAAATACTCAGACCAGCCCGTCTGGCACCAACAACCATGCCACGTTCAAAGTCACTTAAATATTCTTTCTTTCCCATTCAGAAGCTCAGTTTAACCTGCAGAAGATCATCTTGACTATGTCTACATGCCTAAATGTATTGAGTTGCTGCCAAGCGATTGGCTGATTAGAAATTTGCGTTCACGAGCAGTTGGACAGGTGTACCTAATAAAGTGGCCGGTGAGTGTATACAGTATATAATATAATATAATATAATATAATATAATATAATATAATATAATATAATATAATATAATATAATAAAATATATTAATTGTTTAGTAATAAAAAATACACTGAATTTGTTAATGATAACACTATAAAGTTTTTAAAACAAAACTTATTTGCATTGTAGTTTTTGATGTGAAGTTCATATTATAATACTCCTAGGAACATGTACACTATAACACTACATTAAAAAAATGAACACAAATACAATCACAAATAACCATTGAAACATGCTGTAAAATCCATCAACGTACTATTCTGCTTAAGAGCCAGATTTTAGATTTTGAACTAAAACTAATCACATTAGGAATAATTTTAATATTCAATGCCCCAGCATATTTAAAAGAGCAAAGTACATTTCCAAGCTCAACATTCACCATTTGAAAGACGATTAGTTTAACATTCGAGTTTTATTAAACATTGGATGTGTCTAGTAATTCAGAACTAAAAATATTCCATGTGATGTGCAGAAAGCTACACAGTTTCACTTCCACTAGCAAAACTAGACGTGTTGAGACAGCCCGTATGCTTAATATTTAATGGCTGGGCAAAGTAAACCTGGGCAAGAGGGAATGGTGGGTGATACTGTTGGCAGAGATTGTACTGTATATTAGAGTAGTATTCTCACTTTTTCAAGAGAACATGTGGATGTAATTTAAACAACTGGGCAGTAGCCAGTCTGAAGCAGTGGCCAGTTAGAGCTTAGATGTGCCCAAGGTTACTATACTGATGCTGGGGCCAGTTGCTTTCATTAGACATGACAGATGGTGTTAGACTGTGGCCATATTGGAGACAATTTTAGATGAATAATTGCATAAATATTATGTGCAAATACATATTTAAATCAATATAATCCAACCCATATTTTGCAGAATCTCTGGTACATGGTAACTATGCCAAATGATAGACAATGCCTGGATCTCACTAAATAACTGTGATTTGGCTAAGTTTGACTACTGTATAAATATATGCTCATACACATATGAAATATCAGTGCTCTCTGCTCAGCATAAATGAGTCCACCCCGTTTTTAATACCAACTTTTTGGCCTTAACTCTAAGCAGTATGTGTGGAGAAAACCATCCACTTCTCATCACCTATAAAATAACGAAGAAGTAGCTTCACAACAACTCAGTAACTGTTCTTGAATGGTCCAGCCTAAGCCCTGACTTAAACCCAATTGAGCATCTCTGGAGAGACACAAAAATTGCCTGTCCACCAAGGTTTTCCATCCAACCTTACAGAACTAGAGAGGAGGATTGGGCAGAGGATCTTCAAATCCAGATGTGAAAAACTTGTTGCATCTTTCCCCAAAAGACTCATGGCTGCATTAGATCAAAAAGTTGCTTATACTAAATACTGGGCAAAGGATCTGAATGCTTAGGACCATGTGATAATTCAGTTTTTATTTTTTAATAAATCTGCAAAAATGATAACAATTGTTTTCTGTCAATATGGGGTGCTGTGTGTACATTAATGAGGAAACAATTGTTTGCTTGAATGATTTTAGCAAATGGCTGCACTCTTAAAAAAAGAGTGAGAAATTGAAGGGGGTCTGAATACTTTCCATACCCACTCCACTGTAGGTTAATTAAGCAGGTCATTGGACAACTGTGTTTATTTCTGTAGCTAAAAAAAAAAAAAAAAAAAAAAATGTATATATATATATATATATATATATATATATATATATATAGGGCGAGGCAGTGGATCGCTGGTTCGAACCTCGGCTCGGTGTTTCTGTGTGCATGTTCTCCCTGTCTTCGCGTGGGTTTCCTCCGGGTGCTCCGGTTTCCCCCACAGTCCAAAGACATGCGGTACAGGTGAATTGGGTAGGCTAAATTGTCCGTAGTGTGTGTGTGTGTGTGTGTTTGTGTGAATTTGTGTATGGATGTTGCCCAGAGATGGGTTGCGGCTGGAAGGGTATCCGCTGCGTATAAAACTTGCTGGATAAGTTGGTGATTCATTCCGCTGTGGCGACCCCGTATTAATAAAGGGACTAAGCCGACAAGAAAATAGATGAATGAATGAATATATATATATATATATATATATATATATATATATATATATATATATATATATATATATATATATATATATATATATATATATATATATATTAATTATATATATAATAGAAATAATAGAAAACATGAGAAATAAGTGTGGGTCAATTAACTAATTGGTGCTAATATTGGCTGACTTATATTCTGGTCAAAATAGTTACTTTGTTTAGCAGACAGTTGAGCATCTCTGAACATCACTCCACAGTGACATGATGGATTAGTGTTTCAGATCGAATCAGTTGAATGAATGAATGAATGATTCAATAACTCACAAGTTTTGTTCCCAAATAAATTAGCTTTTTTCTATAAATTAACTATTTAATGGTGCACTCATTACATCATGTACTGCAAAAAAGTCTAATCAAATTAGAGGACAAGGACTGAAATTAATTTATAGGACTCCTAAAATACCTTTTGTATTAACTATGAGTTTACCTTAGGTTAAGGAAAAAAAAGCAATGACCTTTGATAAAACAGGACATATGAGATTAATGCTGTCTAGATCAAATCAATGTCACCACGCACCGTTCTCTCTCCACAGCCATTTAATTTACCCTTGGTCTGTTTTCTTCTCTTTCATTTAGAGGACAGCATGTGGGAGATTAAGAGAGAGGTTCATTTTTAACTCAAACTGATACTGTAATTCACAAGAACAAACATAAAAAGGTACGTTTGTTCAGACTTGACACAAGACATGAAGAGAATGTTTTAAATCAGAGACTGAAATAAAATCTCATCAGTTCTGCAGAGCTGTGCTGTTCGCAGAGACAGAGAAATTGCTCTGTCCCACTGAAAAGGTGCATTTTGCATGGCTTATTTTTTTTCACGTGTCTACCTGGTTTGAAATGTCATTTGCACCTGTATTGAAAAGCCCAAATTCAAGATATTTTAATAGAAAGTCTTTTTCAAAGTCTTTTTTAACACATGAAGAGGTTGCAGATCATTCTCAATACTCATTCATTCATTTTCCTTCAGCTTAGTATCTTATTTTATCAGGGGTCACCACAGCGGAATGAACCGCCAACTATTTCAGCATATGTTTTACACAGCAGATGCCCTTCCAGCCAAAACCCAGTACTGGAAAACACCCATACACACTCAATCCTACACTACAGCCAATATATTTTACACAATTCACTTATAGAGCATGTCTTTAGACTGTGAAGAAAACTGGAGCACTTGGAGGAAACCCCCGCTAACATGGGGAGAACACACAAACTCTGCATAGAAATGCCAACTGGCCCAGATGGAACTCGAACCAGCAATCTTCTTGCTGTGAGGCAATAGTGCTACTAACCACTGAGCCACTGGGTCACCCCTTCATTCTCAATGTAAAGAACTTACTTAATAATGATCCTTGTGTATGTGACACTGTGAAAATACGTTTTTGACATGTGAAAACAAATAAAATGTTTCCAATTTAGGCTAAAAAAACAAGGCTAGTATCTGTTAGACAGATAGCACTTACCTATGTGTTAGCTGCCACACTTCACAGTACTTTTTTTTCTCTATAATTGTTGATTTTCATTTCATTAAAAGTATGTGGCTTAATAAAAAATTGTTTGGAGACAAATCTATATAACTTTGATGCTCAGTTCAATATTAGCTTACAAAGCATCTCTTGATACAGTTATGATGATAGCTTGTAAATATGAGACTCACCAATGTCCCATGAACCAGGGCTGTTGTTCTCTATCTCGCTGCGGCCAATGATGTACCAGACACAGGCCATCCAATGTGCCAGCAAGGCAAACATGGACATGAGTAATGTGAGCACTACTGCACTGTATTGGGAGTAGCGCTCCAGCTTTTGTAGCAAGCGAAGAAGCCGTAACAATCGAACCGTCTTCAGCAGATGAACCCCAAAGTACTAAACAGAGATTGAATATATAAAAAAGAAAACATAAAATAAATAAGAATTTAAAATGACCATGCCAACAGTATATGAAATGTGTTGTACCACAAAGCTCTGTGAAAGGCCCGATAAAATTGCTTTAAAAAGCAAAACTAATATATACACTACCTGACAAAAGTCTTGTTGCCTATGCAAGTTTTAGAAACAGCAAATAATAACTTGACTTCTAGCTGATTATTTGGTATCAGAAGTGGCTTATATGAAAGGCAAAGCCCTCTAGATTACGCTTATTTTACCAAAATAAAATATGATCATGTCTTTATTTTTTAATTATTTATAATTAGGACACAAAGTTCTGACTTTGCCTAGATAAAAGTCTTGTAACTTAACAGGAGTAATGTACAGTATAGAATACAAATGTCTTGATACCTTAGGCTGTTGATTTTGCCATCCATAGTGCAGATCTCTCACATGCCCCCTTACATATGTAACCCCAAACCATGTTTTTCCTTCACCAAACTTGACTGATTTCTATGAAAATCTTGGTTCCATGCGGGTTCTTGTATGTCTTCTGCTGTATTTGTGATGATTGGGATGCAGTTGTTGATTCATCAGAGAAATCTACCTTCTGCCACTTTTCCAAATGATCAACTAGTAGTCAAGTTATAATTTGTTGCTCTTACAACGGGGATCCACATCATGACTTTTGCCAGGTAGTATAGGTACTAAAGACGGATCAGTTGGCACAAAAGTAACCAAAAAATAAGTTGATTAAACACTTACCACACTGACATTGAAGGCATACAACAGGTCAAATGGCAGCGCAGCAATCAGGTCCACAAAGAGCCAGGTGGTGACGTAATGCACACATATAGAGCGAGCATCATACACCACCTGGCCTGATGTGCTCACAAATGTGGTGCGGAAGTTTAGTACAATATCTGTAACAAAGAAATAAGAAAAAAGACACTGATATTCAGTAATTATAGCAAAGAAAACTGTATTTGATTTAATATATGATTCAAATGTCCAGTTTGGGCTGAGATCTAGTGGCTATAATGCTATTCAATGTAAGTTGTAACAACAGCAATATAATTTAAATGATAAGTTCAGATTAGTAAAGGATTTTGGACACTTTTCAAACCAACACAGCTAAAAGCAATGTTTTATGTTGGAGATTTTTCTTTTTTTATGCAAATGTTTTAATGATCTAGAATTGCTTTGCATTATGAATCTGTGTAATGAACAGAAAACGATTCTGTCATTAAACACTAACAGCTTTTATGCAGTGCTAAAAAGCTTAATTGCACATAGCAGACTTGTAAAACAATGGTAATGTTTTGAAAATTTGATGTTTTCTCTAATGGATATGTTTATATGAATATCTACTGTATATTTATATACAGTATAAACTGCTACAGATAGAAATCTAACTTAGTAAATCAGTTTAACAGTGGGTCTTCAGAGTTATATCAGAATTCAACAGCAATGTCCTTCAGAATCTCTTCATTTTGCTTTCAAGTTTCTAAGAAATGCTTTAGAATGGCTACAGTAGGTGTGTTTTTTTATGATGTTGGCTTAGCAACATCTAGAACTTTTTACAATCTCTGAGTAACTAAAAGATGTCTGGCAATATGACACAAAACACTGACTCAGAAATATGAGTGCAAACCTGAACAATAACAGATTTGTTTGGCATCTGGGCGATTTAATAACACAATATGGTTTTAAAAAACATTTTAATGATGGTAATGATTGTACAAAAAGACTAGGACTGTAGTTTGTTCATTACCTAACATGAAAAGAATTTCCACCAGAATGTCGCTCACACTCGGTGGACTTCTAGGGGTTGATGCTTCATCTCGCCCTCCAACGACGGTGAAACAGACATTGTAGGGCACAGTAACTGCTACATAAAAGGTTGCTAACAGGATGAGCCAATCCCAGCCTGCTTTGAAGGTGCCGTAATGGAGAAGAATGAAACGGCTTTTCTGAATGGCTGCCACTTTGTACTCTGGTATGGGCGGCTTCTCGCCAAACATGTTCTAAATCAAAAACAATGTTCAGAAATGATTAATTGGATTTTAGTTGCATCTATAATTCGACATTTTGACAGAAACTGTGTTATGTGTGCTGCTTAGTCATGACGAATGAACTAATCCAAGTATTTTGTAAAGAAGAAGCAATAATTGGCCTGAAATGTCACATGGATTCTTCCCTTAGAACTGAATACAGCATTGCTATCTATTGATTGTATCTTTACAAGGGCATTTGGTTACATTTATTTTGATGGTCTTCTTTATAGATTTTGTTTTTGTACAGATAATATTCAAAAAGGTCTGTTAGGATGCTGGGTTTCATATTAAAATTATCTTTGATTTTATAGTGCTACTATTGTGCTGAAGAGTAGAGCCTTTATTTAAGTCAAGGATGGGCCAAAGAACATTGATGTTATGCTAAATGTTCCTCCATTTTATAGCTGTTAAATCAATGATGTCTATTTGGCAGCTACTTTGATTTTTGCATGTGTGCTACTAATGAATAAATTAAGTTAATTGATAATTTAGTTAGGGTTAGGAATCATTTAATTTATATTAGTAGACTGTGTTTGACAAGGGTTTGTAGATTAATAAATGTAAATAACAAAAACATGCATATTGCTGCCCAATAAATGCACCTCATTAAATGTCCCAACACTCTTTTGTCAGTCTAACACATTTTTATTTTGGTAACATTTTAGTTTAGGTCACAACTCTCAATCTCAATATTAACAAACCATAACCTAGCATTACTAAATAGTAAAAAATACTGGATTTCAATGCATTTGTGTTGGAACAAAATTAAGGAGTTAAGTTAACTTATTAGTTTTTACAAATGTATGTAGATTGAACATAAAACAATAAAGTTGTCCCAAAAAAAAAAACAAGAATTGTGTTGTTTCAGCTCAATTTAAATACATGCAGTAATTTGAACAAAAAGCAAATGTCAAATTTTGAATTTAGTTTAATAAACCAGTAAATAACTGTTTATTAATAGTATAGTATAATTTGGGTTTGGGTTTTGGGTAGGATTAGGGATGTAGAATAAGATCATACTTTATAACTACTAATGAAAAGATAAGATCTTAATAATAATAGCCAGTAGTTAATAGAATAAATTGTAACCTAAACTAAAGTGTTACCGTCATTTTTAATAAAGCATTGAGATAAATGTCTAAGTACATCAGATCATTAAGTACTCAAATAATTCCAATTTGCAAAGTTTAGTTACCAACAGGCAACCTACAGATAAACAAATTATGTTATTGATAGTAAGTTGTTTCAACTGAAAAATCATTAACTACTTTGCTTGCTTTATAGGCAATTAATTTCCACAGGTTTTCTAAGTTAACTCAACCTATCATATTTTTCAAGTGTTAGTAACTATATACCTGCCGTTAATTGCATAACTGGTTAATTGGTTAGTATAATAAGTTAGTTATAGTCAACAGAATGGCAAAACAAAGCATTAGGAATGATGAGTTGACATACTTTTTAAGTTATACTAAAAACAATGTTGGGTTGTAAATTATGGACAAACTTAACCCAAAAGTATCATTTCAAAAACAACCATGGTTGGGTTTGTCTATATTTTATCCACATTGATGTGGAAATCCAAGCATCTTTTAAAAAGTACTCAATATAATGTCTGAAGGGAACCATCAAAATGCTAGGGGTCATTTATTGTTTTATACACAGTAATATTTCTTAAACTAATCTTAGATTTATATAAAATCATAGAGCATTTACTGGAAAACATGTTGCTTATAGCAAAAGAACTGTTTAAGTGTTTCTTACATTATTGATCTTGAGTTTGCTCTTGTCTTGTTTCTGCAAGTGTCCAGACAGCTGGTAAAGCACAGCTCTACTGCGCCGCCGGTTGGCATTGAAGCCCGGTGGCCGTGTGACCTTGTGCACCTCCAACCCCGTCTCCTCGTCTGCACAGAGCACATCCATAAATCATGTTAGTTCATTTCATTTTTCATTTCTGAGTTGTTTAACCCAACAAAATACCACACAAATAACATTAAGTTAGCCCATTCCCAATAAACCAAAAAAAGTAACTTTCTGTAAATCAGTAGAACATGAATGCAAATTTGCAGGATTTCTACACTGAGATTATTAGAAATGTCTCGTCCATAAACCTCTGAACAAACACAACTTGACACTGAAATCATGATTACATTTACCCATTAGCACATGCTGCCTGCTCAATACAAATTACATTTGCATTCATTAGTTTATCAAGGGTCTGTAAATATGACAGAAGAGAATTGCATCCAGTGAAAGAACAGCAGAACAATTGAACAATTGTGCGCACAGCTAGATTACACTGTGGGAAATAAACAGCCAAATTTATAATAGACAATTAAAGCCTTTGGAAGCTCTTAAAAAGGAAAAAGATGCTAATTCTGATTGTAATTCAATGGTATTCTCTGTTTGTGCTTGTTCTCCTTCTCTCTATGAAGGCTATTAGTCTCTCATTATGCAACCAAGGCTCATTATTGATACGTACCACTGTATACATATCTGGAGAGTACAAATTACACCCCAGGAGGTAAGTTTTTTTGTTGCAGTTTACCACCAGAGACTGCTGCGTCCGCTTTTGCAGATCTCAAATTTTTTATCACAAGTGCCATTTGCACGTGCTGTTTTTGTGTAAATCCACCAGAGGCTGCTGTCGAATGACTGACTGACTGACTGATCCCCCTCACCCACCCCTTTCCTTAAACCAAAACAATAGTGTTTTCAAAAGCACAGATTAACCCACCCACCCATCCCCTTCCATAAACCCAACCAACAGTGTTATATAAGGCAATGCAGAAAAAGAAAAGCCCTCTGAGCTTTTTTCCTATGTTTTCAGATTTTACCACGTTTCACCCATTTATTTACTTGTTTATTTATTTATTTTTTTTAAATTGTCGCTGTCGGACTAAACTTTTCTCTGCGTCTCAAGTCCACCAACGTACTTGGCAAGCTACTGGGCAAACTTTTACCACGGAATAGCCGTCCACACAGAGGTAAGTGGTCAGTACCTTCAACTGCCCCCGGAGTGTTTGCTTCTCAAGACGAAATGTAGTCATACGTAGCTCTGGCTACAAAATTTGCACTCTCCAGAAATGTATAAGTGGGTACATTTTTACAATGAGCCTGTGTTGCCATTATATCTACAGCACCAGGAATGTTCAGACAGTGAGAGGGGGCCTAATTTTGATGCATAATGACCAGCATTTGATTTAAAGCAATAGTTAACCACTCAAATAATTTATTTTATTCAATTTACTATACCTACATAAATTTCTTTTATAAAATCCCAAGATCTAAAGGAAAATTTCCAACAATTTTCAGAAATTAATTGTGTACAATGCAACATTTTTGTTTTGCATTGTAATTTAGTAATATTATAAATACTACTAAAACTGATCATTTAATTATTCCTTAAAAAGATGACCAAAAATGAAAATTTACTCAATATTTATTTACACTCCCTCAAGTGGTTCACTCAAAAAAAAAAACATTTTTTTTTTGGCTCGTTCAAACTACTTAATTAAAATGAGGTGAACCAACACAATTCTTGATAATTCATTGGGACAACTTAATTGTTGTATGCTCAATCCATATAAATTTGTTAAAAGTGTTAAGTTAACTTACTTAATTTGTGTTGGGACAACATGAATAAATTGTGTGGAACATTGCATTTCTTACCCGTTTACATTTCCTTCTATTGTTAAACACAAAAGAAGACTCTCTGGGAAATGTTATAAACTAAACTGAAACTGATTTAAACAAAAAAATTAAATGTAGCAATGTTCAACTTAATTTGTTTGTTTAAATTAAACCCAAATGAATTGTTTACAACCACTTTACATACATATTTTTTTGTAAATACAAGGAATCATCTTTGAATATTTTTTCTTTCAGTGTGGTAACCTGTGACATCCATAGTAGGAAAAACAAATACTACGAAAGTCAATGGTTACATGTTTCCAACATTATTTAAAATTTATATTTTTTGTACAACAGAAGAATTAAACTCAAACAGGTTTGCAAGAGTGAGGGCTTGGTTGTAAAAAAACGAGAGAATTTTCAGTTTTGGGTGACCTGTCTCTTAAAAACTACTTATTTAATGTTATATCGTTCCACTGTATTGTTTTTTTTACTACCTTTTATAACTGCTGAAACGTACACTCTGGTTTCACCTTCATTATCTGATAATGTACAGTTGAAATCAGAGTTATTAAACCCCCTTTGTTTTTTTTTTTATTTAAATATTTCCCAAATGATGTCTAACAGAACAAGAATATTTTCACAGTATGTCTGATAATATTTTTTCTTCTGGAGAAAGTCTTATTTGTTTCATTTTGGCTAGAATAAAAACAGTTTTTAATAAAAAAAAAATGAAGGACAAAATTATTAGCCCCATTAAGCTATATATTTTTTCGATAGCCTACAGGCTAATAATTCAGGGGATTTAAAAATTCTGGCTTCAACTGTAGGTGTTGCAGCTAATATTAATTTATATTGACATCTGACAAGGTTGCTTTTTAACTAATGAGAGATTTCATCAGCTGTCTGGGCTTTCTATTTGTATTTACATCTCACTTTCTTCATGTATTCAACACTTTTTCCCAGTGTCATTTCATTTTTATATAAGATAATGTTTTTGGCTTTTTTCAACCATGGCTCTTGGTGACACATAAATGCAAGTCAAACATATAAAAACATATGCAAGCAAAACTAAATTAATACCCATCACTCCTAATGATATATTGAGGCTATATGATTATATCTAATAACATTATTTACAACATTATTACTTATGAACCCAGACTACCATGGATGAGATGAGGAGGACTGTTTGCAGAGGCTGTGAATTAAAGGTTATAATGCTGTAAAAATATGTTCAGAATCATATTGCCAGGAGCTATGAGTATATGTTATTTTGATTCTCAAAGTGGCCATTGATGTTGACATTTTATGAATCACCAAGGAAGAAATAAGTCACCTACATCTTGGATAACCTGAGGGTGAGTAAATAAATGTTCCTTTTTAGGTGAACTATGCCTTTTATGAAAATTAAATACAGGAAACCATGACAGAAAATGCCCTTTCTTTTCATTTCCGAACTAGCATGTTAATTCCCATCAGCTGAAGTGTTGATTTTAATTGAAGTCTTCAGTTTACAACATTAATTTGAAGAGAGCCATCTGTCAACTTCTTGCATCTTAATGTCTAACAAACCTACCAATTTACTTCAACTTACATCCAAATCCCAATTCCATCCCTCTATATTACATTTACTGGCTTTTGTCCCTTCATTACATAACTCCAACCACGCTTTATTTGGCTTAAACAGCATAATTAGGAAGGCAACTCTCGCTCTATCTTAACCGATTCCAAATATCCACTTTTAATGAGTTGACATCATTGACCAGCTATAAATTATTCTTAGTCCAATGTTCATCCCTCAGCCAAATGAACAGTACCATGCATTGGCTGGAGCTCAGGCCACTAAAGGGAGCTTCACACCTCTGTGCCAAGCTTTCCTCATCTCTCTGTTTATCAGTCTACCGTTCTCTATCTCTCTGGGGAAGAGAAGTGTCAGGATTACTGTAACAGCGAGCACCGCAGGAGATGCTGCTGGCCTGTATATCGAAGCATCCGAAAAATCAGGATTCTGGAGCCAAGAACGAGAGAGAAAGAGAAAAAGAGCTTGCGAAGTATGACATTCACAGCACAGGTGTTGGAGGTGTATGTGCGCATATGAATATTAGTGGAATTAAGCCGAGATAGGCATAATCATCTTGTAATACGCTTTGTAGAGCATCCCATACGAGGCTGAAAGTGGTGCTGTGTGCATAAAAGGATAATTTACCCTTTTGAAGTCATTCTCTCTTTGTTATTGAGCACTTTGCTTCTGTACTTTTACTGTATACACACAGAGGCTTTTTACACATTATGACTTTCTCGCTTTTCTCTCTTTTCCTCATTGTTTTCTTTGTTCTACACAAAACAGTACAATTGTGTTCGCATTGTGCATTTTGAAAGGTTGGCCTCATTACAGAAGGTATCCGAGAGACTGGGTCAACAAGCAAATGCTGTGTGTTGGTTTTGAGCTCTTTAAACCACCTGTGCTGTACATTAAAGCTTTAATGAGGAACTAGGAGGTAAAATACAATTGTTTTTTTTTTTGATAATAGCTGTTCACTGTTATAGTTTTTAATTAGTGAATATAAGCATCACAGCAAAGTATAATATTTATTTTAAGTTTTTATTTCACAATATTGTTTAAAAATTGTACAATTAAAATGTAAATTTAATTGGACATTATTCACTTGAACTCATCTTTATTTCTATAGTCTTTTTTTATCAGACAACACATAAAAATACCATGCACTATTATAATACTCCAACAAAAAGTACTGTTAAACTGTTATCAACATCTCATTTTGAAAGTCATGTTAATTTAATTTAACATGTCAGTATTAATATGTATTAAGCCAGTGTGTAAACTATTAAATTAAAGTAATTTAAAGTAAATTCACCTAAAATTGACAGTTTCAAGAAAACAAGTATGGTTAATATATTAAACAATAAGTCTGTAAAATAAACTATTAAAAGTGCTGATAATTACCAGTATATGATTTTAAGTGTTGTATTGTTGTCTTTCATGTTGTATTTTAGCTTTAATGCGCTTTTTAAATGAATAAATAAAAAATAAAGCAGCTGCTTGCCATTGCCACAGCAATAAGATCCAATGGACTGTCGACCGCTTTCACTCCAGAATGGCGGAATCGCTGGGTGCTGCTGTTGCATAGGGACGTTCTATTGAGTGTCGTTTCTTGGTGATTCTAAACTTTTTGACTGTATTGAGTTGCTCACCTCTTTCTGGGCTCTGCTCTTCATCTTGGTCTTTCTTGTTGTCTGTAATGTCCTTGTGTGACACTAGAAAGAGCACCACCTCTCCCTTCTCATTCTTAATGGGCACGATATCCAGAAGACACCAGAACTGAGTTCCTGCCACAACACAACACAGCATCTGAGAGTTAACATTCAACATGAACATTCAATATTGACACACATTTATTGACAGGCATTTACAGGTAGACCAGACTTAATGTTATTGTGTTTAAGCTTTCCTGCTTATTTCTCTTAGTTTAAATCAGATTTAGTTTTGTCAGTGGTTGTCTCAGTTGGCTGTAATGGCTTCATTTCCCATAAGACTCACTGTGTACCTTGAGTAAATGTAGAAATACAGAGAAAAAAAAAACATTTTTGCACTTCTTAGACTTGCTAAATATCAAAGGCAGCACAGAAGGACAAATCAAAGTCACTGTCATTTAAAGTGCTTTACTCTGCTGTCTGATAGGAGCACATCATACAAATACATTAGATGATAGCAAGCAAATAAAGAAAATTGATAAAGAAAACTACTCAACAAAGGACACCAACGAGTGGATTTTGTTGTTATGCTCAGCTCTGAGTTTCACGGTTAGGGTTAACACTACAATAGTCAATATGAAGGTCAAATAAATACGTTTAAAACATGCTAAACAATGGTGCATATTGAAAAAAAAAAATCCTAAGTATAAACTGTACATTAGAGTTGCACAATATATCGTTTCAGCATTAAAATCACAATGTGCGCATCCACATATTGAGTGTAAATTATACACCAGGAGCTACAGAATTGTATTTAATTACTGTATTTATATGGAATTTATACAATTTATGCAAAATAGATAAATAAATAAATAAAAATACATAAATATATTTAGTTTCTTGTTTCTAATCCAAATGTCTACTTTTTAAAGTGAAAACAAGATTGTTTGATTTATCCCAGCAGCAAATAACTTAGCTTGTTTTAAAGGGCACCAATTTCAGCCCTTTTTCAAGATGTATAACAAGCTTTTGGTGTCTCCTGTAAAGTTTCAGGTCAACATACCCATCGTATAATTTATTATAGCCTCCAGAATCTGCCTATTTTGTCGTATACTGTAGCTGTTTTTGTATCCTGTGGCTTTAAATCCAACTGAGCTGCTTCTCCCCGCCCACCGTTCCCACATGCATGTTTGCTTCTCATTCATGCATTACATCAGATAAACAGCAGTCAGTGACAGAGCCAGACCCGGATGAAGCTGAAATACAGCTTATTAGTCAAAAATACCCATCAAGTTTTTTGTGTGTATTTGTGGTGGAGCTTATTCAAGCCTTTCTGAAAGGATGAATCTCACACAAATGCAGTTTGCATTACACACACACACACACACACACACACACACACGCACGCACGCACACGCACACACGCACACACACACACACACACACACATAAACAGATATATTAGCATTTACTGACATGACGCAGCTGTGGTGATTATAGCGGTTAAGAATTACACTGCAATTTTACTATCTTTATTACAAACAATGCAATGTTTTTAAAACTTGTAAATTACAGAGAGTTGTAACACATATTTTAATCCCAGTTCATTTGCAAAACAATGTGCAAAACAAATCACTGGGATTTGGGTATTTTAACATCAGGAAATTTAAAAAAAGAGACTTGTTGGGTTTCTATCACTCCAATATGACAGTGGACACACTATACAGACAGTTCTGTCCAAACAGCTTACAAAAGTAAATTTTCATCATAGGTGCCCTTTAAGGAAGAACTCCTTATTTTGACTGACTCCTTCTGAAGGTGAAAACAAAACAATATTTTACTTGCTCCAAGAATGTTTTATATTTTAACAAGACAAAGCAACATATGAAAAGTATGTTTTTGCATTATTCAATTTCTGTACCTGAAAACTGTTAGACTCCACAGAAAACCGTAAAATGAGTTAATGTTGTGAGACTGTATTCATATCTAAATATTTATCACAGAAAAAAAACATCATAGTATCAGATTATTCCAATATTGTGCAGCTCTACTGTACATTCTAGATATCATTTTAATGCATAAAGTATAATGTATATTTGATGATACTGCCAAATGTTTTTTTTTAAGAGTTTTTGCTGTATTTTACTTTTATAATAACAGGACAGTAGATATTGACAGGAGGTGAAGTTGTAAAGAGGTTTATTCAATTACTTAACGCTATTGGTACAGTCATACTGTCAAATGCTTACAAAAAAAAAAAATTAAAATCCAACACATTTTTAAAAGTATGCATTAAACACAGACTTTTTTTTTTAATGCAAAATTAAACTCTGCATTGTTCTGGCATTTCTCTTTCACCTGAAAAATCCAGTGTGCATACATTATAAGATGCAGTTTCAATTTTTGTGTTTGCATATGAAACAAAAACGCTTAAACAGTAAATGATATCTTCATAACATGTTCATATACAATTAAGCTTTTTATGCTGAGCGCTCTGATTTGTCTAAGCACTTGTTTTTCCGAGACATTAAATTTGGTCTAATTTTCTGCTTATGACTGTCAGTAACCCATGTGCTGCTTCTCTCTAAGTTTATAAATGTGTTTTTTGACAGGTGAGCAGAACACGTCATGACTGCTGAGCGCAGAATTCCCTCTTGTGTGGTGTGTGTGCATATGCACGTCTGCCGCAGGTTCTCCAACATTGTTCTGCAGCTGCTCAACATTATGCCGCAGCATCATGCCATGCCTCATTAAATCGAGATGGAGGGAAATGGAAAGAAAGGGGTAGAAATGCTTGGTTGGAGGTTGGAGTCCCTAATGATACACATTGGTGTGTCTGCATGTGTGTGTGTGTGTGTGCATTTGTGTGTGTGTGTTTGTGTGTAAATCACCAAGACCTTTCATTAAGCACAGCTTGAGTCAAGAGAAGTAAATTTCAATAAAAAAAAGCCAGAGACCATACACCGTATAATGCAATGAGCAATATATTCAAAACAAACTACTTAATGCCGAAAGCAGCAATATGCAAAGCTATGAATAAAGCATGTGCCGCTGACAATAGCTAAATACGATAAATTGATTTGTTCCACACGTGATGAACAGCTGAAATCAACTGCTGTTTGAATGATTAATCAGATGCTAGTTTCACTGCACAATGAATGCGATGATAATTATTGGCCTAAAAGGTCAGATGCAACTCCTGAACCTCATAACAGCTCTTCAATGAATTAAATAAACTTCCATTGTACGCCAAACCAACAGTGTGCATTCATTTTTTTAAGAGAATTAAAATTGCATTACTCTCAGACCCTAGGTGCCTAACATATAATATTAACACAAAAAGTAGAATTTTAAAAATAAATTACAATAAATACAGATACACATATAATATAATCTAAAAATATAAGTAAAAAATGCAAACAATACAATTACATTAAATATACGACATTTATATTCTAGCTTTATATATAGACAAGAAAACAAGATGTGTGATTAAGGATAAACTTGTTTGCAAAATTTTCTATGTATGTTTGGTAGTCATAATGCACTTACTTATGCATGTAACTAGTAAATGCATTGTATGAAGTGTTATTCACAGGTCCTGAAAAGTGGACCAAAGCAAATATATTTCGATCAATCAACCCCCTAACCACCTCCCACCCCACCACCCCTCAAAGTCATAAGCCCCACCCTCTTCCGTTAACCAATCAAAAAACAACTAAAACTTACACTTTAGTTCCCACTGACATGTTCAAATGTTTGTTTTTCTAAATATTTTGCTTTATTTTGTTATTTAATGGTACAAAATTGGGGTGTGGGATGACATAGAAGAAGTGTAAACAAACATAAACTATTCCTCTTAGTAGCTCTCTAGCAATGCCCAGGACATTGCACTGATAAAAAAGAGGTTGTTCCCTTAAATCAAGCTGAATCAAATCACCCTTACCATTGCAACTTGCTTTATAGTACACTTGAGTTTCTCAATCCCGGTCCTTGAGCCCCACTGATCTGCATGACTTGCATGTCTCTCTTATTTAACACACCTGATTTAGTTAACAGGCTTATTAGATGTTCTTGACAGGTCCCTAGCCAGTGTGCATTGTTCCCTAGTTCCTTCTCGCTCATTGCGCTCTACCTGAACACGTGAAACCTTTATTTCACTTCGAAACTTTCATTCATGTGTTTGCAACACAACACTGCCTGCAGCATCCTGCTAGAGAAACGTGAAATGTGACATAATATACCTCTGGAAATAAATATAAAATTACGTATCACACAGTAAAATGCCTTTTGAATGAAACATACAGTGTAGGCTTCCTTCAAACTGAAATGGCAGAATGACCCATGGAGTCCAAATAAGAAAAAACGTACAAAATGTGCAGCGGGGTAGGGCGCAAGGACTGGCATTGACTTAATCTAAAATGTTTTTGGTTGTTTATTTGAAAAATGTTTAACTTTTTTTCATTTTTTAACATAAATCATATTATGATCCTATATATTTTACTCTGTGTTTTAATGCTTCATAAAACGTTATATGTGACCCTGAAGCACAAAATAGCATATATATATATATATATATATATATATATATATATATATATATATATATATATATATATATATATATATATTATATAAAAGGTCCCATGAAATTTAAATAAAACTTTTTAAACAATTTTAGATGTTAATTTTAGTCTGTTAGTTTTGAGGACATCTATATGTTGGTGTGCTACAAAACAGTGATACAATCCGCATTCAGGAGATCTAAAATTAATATAAACATTTAAAGCTTGCAGTTTGTCACTTCGTCTAAATGGATCAATGTTTTTTTTCACATCACTTCATACTTCAGTTTCTCATTAAATCTTGACCAATCAAATGCTCTCTAGTATCTAACATGTCCCGCCCCCTTCAAGATGCTTCTCATTTGCTTTTCATTTGAACCAACCACTTTCACTGGCAGAACTGTAATAAAAACAAGATGCTATCGGTTACTTTTTGAAATGGGGAGGGGGAGGGGGGTGCAATTCTAGGTCCCTCTTAATTTTTCAGTTGGAATATGTCAGATATTGAATAAAAATGCACATTTCAAAGTACTTCAGAGGATCTTTAAGTATAGATCATGTCCCGTGAAGTTATTTTGAAAAAAAAAAATTTGATTAGTAAAATGCATTCCTAAGAACATAATTTGGATATCTTTGAAGGCAAATTTTTAAAGTATTTTGTACCTTCTTTCTTATTTTTCTTTATTTGGTACTGTTTTATTTGCTTAAATCAATGCGATCTTCGCATGTGCATTTGACAGACTCGTGAGCTCTTCATCTTCCACAGGACTGACAGTGTCTCAATGCAACATGGCAGCTGAGCAACAGAGGGAGTTTACAGCAGTCTTGTAACTATGATCTTCTATTCCCTTTGAACCGTGTACAACCTAAAACTGAACCTGGAGGCCATGAGACGTGTTCAGTGAACGCCACAGCATTTAGAAGTCCTTTGACTTGGTGACAAACTGACAGGAGGCCTGTTGTGACTGATGCACACAGGCAGAATAACAGAGGAAGCATTCGGACTGCTGTTTAGACAATCCACAACCAGCCCTTACCAACTGGATAGAACACACAAATTGCCTATTCTCTTTGATATAACACAACAAACGGCTTCAGAGTATCTCTTACAAACCAGCCAAATGAATGAATCGGACTCTCTGAATTTAGGCATCAGGGGGGCAAATTCCCAATAATGCATGTGGCATGAATGCTAAATTGAAGTGAATCGTTTGAGAAATCGGTTTTCAACGCTGCTGTGTTCGCAAGAAAACATTTAGCTCTTAAGGTCTGCCAAATCCTTCCCAGGCTGATATGGTTTGACACAGAGGTCTAACTCTGTATGTTCGCAGTAATTCACAGTGGTCTCCTGGTACATGGATGAAATTGTGTTCTCTTGACTGCAGGTGGGTAAAAATGTGCATGGCATTAACTATCCAACACGCTGCGCTCTTTCTGTGTATCATGTTCAACATGGAACAAATCAAGGCCTCTGAAATCACTGTCATCTCTGAGCCGTTGTTTATCCCAGGCTGGTTTAAAGGCATATTGTGTGTTTTTTTTTTTTTTTCGGGGAAATCAGTGAGGGAGAGAAAAGACTTGAATCATGATGTTATCATAATCTATGCTCAGCTGCTCCAGACACACGTTAAAGAAGGAGGCAGGATTTAAAGTCAATTTGTTCAAATGAATAGGCCGTCTGGACAGAAATGGTATTTGTTTGGTCGTCTGCTGTGAGGGTTGAGCTCATGATTGCTGCTGAAGTGAGCAATTGTAAATGTGTTTTCCTTTCAGTTTGCTTTATTACAAGCTCGGATTATATTTATTCAATTTGTGCATTCACTTTATTATCAATAAAAATTCTGAGACTTACAATATATTATCAAACTGTCTAATCGCTGATCAATAGTATATACTAAATGAATCTGTACTAGAGATTGATTTGAGGTAGAATCATTTCATTACATGAGAAAAAAGAAAGGCACAATGTAGTAAATCAAAGTTTTTATGGTGAATTAGTCAAGATTTAACAACCGAAGAAACCAATCAGAAAAACTATTCCAGATGGAATGGATGTTTTGGATGGATGTACATAGCTTATGTCTTTTTTTGTATCTCTCCTTGTTTCACATCTCAGTGGTAATTCATTTCTTCCATGCCTGCAGCTATGTTGCTTTATCACTCTAATCAATTCAGTACATAATTAATTTTTGATTAATTGATTTTAGAGTTTGCCTTATCAACAGTGTACCTGTAGTGATTTTAATTGCTTTTAATTGCATTGAAGTCTTTTTTAATTAGTCCCTTTCTTGCTTAAAAAGCAGGTGTCAAATTTAGGTTATGTAATAATAATAATAATAATAATAATAATAATAATAACAATAATAGGTATTATTATTATAATACCACATATAATAACAAAATAACAATAATAAAAAATATCATTCAGTTAAAAGTATATGTAAAAAATAATAAACAAGGAATTTAGTATTTCTTTAAAGATAAATAATAATTAATTAATTAATTAATTGTTTTAGCTAGATACTGTATCTAGATCAATAGATATATAGAAAGATATATAGACAGATATGCTAAAAAAATAAATAATGCAGCAGAGAAAGACGTTAACGAAAAAGCTCCTACCTCCTTTTTTGTAGAAGACCAGTTCTGTCTTGAACTCCCTCCTCTCGTCCAGTGCACCCTGGATCTGTGCCATCAGCCTGTCACTGGTCTCCGGCCCATAGAGGAAATGACATGCACAGCTCTTCTGCATCAGCTCTGCACGGGCATAACCAGTGAGCTCACAGAAGCCATCAGAACAGTAAACGATGGGGTAGAGAGACTGGACTTGCGCGTTCCCCAACACAAAGTTACTGTCTGTGAGAGAAAAACAAAAACAAAGACAATGACATAAGAGTCTGCTCATGACAAATGAGTTCCAGTGTTCAATATATTCTACAAAAGCCCTGAATGAATGACTTTCTGACTTTACAGCAAAGTTTTAATATCTTTTGTTATTGCACACTCTTTAGAGGATCTTCAAGGGATTTTTAAAAGCTTTGTTTGATGATGGATGTTATTTCAACTGAAATGGGAAGACAGGACAGCACTATTAAGTAGCCTCCCCCTTCGAAAACACTCAGTAGGGTTTCGTTTATATCACTCTGCCTAGTCAGAGAGCTAAAGTGCATCTGATTCATGACAGCCAGAGTCTATAATAACAAAGCTCAGTCTGTCTGACAATTTCTCCACTTTTAAATAAAGCATTCAGTGTAGAATTCAAATGGGCCAGATTGGTTCTATGGTCCTTGCTGACCTGTGTTATTGTTTAATAATATTGCTTAGCATTATTAATAGTAGGGCGACTCGGTGGTGCAATAGGTAGTGCTGTCGCCTCACAGCCAGAAGGTCGCTGGTTTGAGCTTCGGCTGGGTCAGTTGGCATTTCTGTGTGGAGTTTGCATATTCTCCCTGTGTTCACATGGGTTTCCTTCAGGTGCTCTGGTTTCCCCAACAGTCTAAAGACATGTGTTACAGGTGAATTGGGTAGGCTAAACTGTCTGTAGTATATGAGTGTGTATGGATGTTTCCCAGAGATGGGTTGCAGCTGGAAGGGCATCTGCTGTGTAAATCATTTGCTGGATAAGTTGGTGGTTCATTCTGCTGTGGCGACCTCAGATTAATAAAGGGACTAAGCAGAAAAGAAAATGAATGAATGAATTATTATTATTTCTTATAAGCAAGTGTTTAACAAGCATTGTATGAATACTCTGTTACATGTGAATGATTGCCAGATTTTAGCACGTCTATTGTTGGTTGTGATGTAAATGTGGATTCTGAAGTAAATCCACACTTGCAGAAAACAACAACACTACCACACTCTCTGGCACTGTTATGTATTTGTTTGTGCTTGCCATTAATCTACACCTCCCTAAACACATAGTATGCACGCACATGACATCATTTTCAAAGGCTCTTGTTTTCAGGTGTTTACATGAACAAAACAATAGTGGTGATTTCAGACTCAAAATGCATAAAAAGTTGATGTAAATGGACCCTTACAGAGTAAGTTAAAGGGATATTAGTAGATACTATTAGCAAGCATTTGATTGGTAAGAATATCTGATGACAAGTGTGCAGTGATTTCAAGGATTTTTTGGGTGGAAGTGAGTAACTCTATTTTGAACACTAATATTCCAAATGTCAGTTTTGTCTTTATTTGAGATCATCTTAAGACAAACATATTGATAAAATACTGAAACCAATCAAAAAAGTTTGGATTTCAGGATGACCTTTACCCTTCCTCTAGCCAAGAGGGAATCAGTGTCTGCAGCCATCAGATTAGGCTTCCCCTGCACACACAGCAGTTGTTACATTACACGTATCACAGGTTCATATGATCATCTAATCCTTTTGAGTGTTACAGTGAGGTTTGCTGACCGTAATGAAGCATGACATTCAGCTCAGCTTTAAATTCCCCCCTCTGGCTATTTGATAAACTAGAGCCCATTTAAACAACAACAACAACACTATTTCAGGGGTGCAAAACGCCATTGAAAACAGGTTACAGTTGCTAAAAATTAAAGTTTCATTATCTAAACTTTAAAAAATTATAATTGTCATGCACATGCATACGATACAGGGCTGGACTGGGTCAAAAAAATCGGCCCTGGCATTTTGGGCCAGAGCGGCCCACTAAATTCAATCAAAATGCTATCTATCTATGCACGTCCAATATTTTTATCAACTCATATTCTATAAAACACAAAAGCCATACATAGGAAATAAATAAATAAATAAATAAATACAAACTTTAATCTCTTTAATTAAATTTAATTTCTGTATACTGTACATAAACATATTTGTTGAGTTCTAAAAAATACACTATTCATTCATTTATTTTTCTTCGCACAAGTCCCTTATTTATCAGGGGTTGCCGCAGTGGAATGAACTGCCAACTATTCCAGCATGTTTTATGCAGCAGATGCCTTTCCAGCCACAACCCAATATTGGAAATCACCCATACACACTCATTCACACACACTCATCCACTACAGCCAATTTAGCTTATTCAATACACTATTCACTCAGCCTATATTCAATAATAAACATAACACAAACTGCCTGCTAATGCATGGGTATATCTTCAAAGGGAACAGTGTTACATTTTAACCTCTTTCACCTCATCCTGCTTGCTGTTTTACTGTCTAAACAATGAAAACATAATATAAGTCAAATTTGTTTCATTTTGATATTATGATTAACAGACACCAAACAGCCTCGTGTAGCTGCATATTTATATGAGCATCATCTTCACTCAGCATATTTATAACAAAACTTAAATATAACTGTCTCCTTTCATTTCCATTGAAAAGAATAAACTTTACCCTGTCTCTTTTGCAGAATATCAGTTTTAATAACCAATAATGGCCATTATAACAGTATACGTACATTAAATTTAAACGATAAAGGTAAGCAATCAGTCAATGTGCAGAATCAGTGTATGTGGTTACATAAATTAATATATTAGCTTATCTTTGCACTCAGCCAAAACAGTTAACTGAGAACAAGTGATTCAAAAAACATAAGAATTGTTAGATAGAGACAACAAGATGGCTGCAGCTCCTGGCGGAGTGTGTGTGTGGTCACGTGATTTACGTTTTTAGCCATGTACTAGAATGAACAGAGAACTTTTCAGAACCGCTAAATGAAACGCCGGTGTATTTCCCGTGATTTCTCTGCGCCTCCCTTGCGTTTCTTCTCTCTGACTCTTGACTATTTTGACAAATACACACAGATGACGCACGCTCACACAGAGTCCAAAATAGAAGTTTGTGATTGGGCAAGCCCAATGTAAATACTGAAAAGAGCCAATGGGCTGCAGAGTGTCACATGGGCCAGCCCGGTCTGTTTGTCCGGGAAAAAAGCATCTACTTTCAGAGAGTCACAGAGATCACAGCAGCGTCAATTAATACGGCAGAAAAAAACGATAGGCTGCTAAGCCTTTTATGGGTCGATCAGATCATAAAACGATGATCAGCCCGGCCCAAAAAGTACGTCGGCCCACCGGGAAAGTGCCCGGTCTGCCAGATGGCCAGTCCGCCCCTGATATGATATATATTAAGATTTTACAATGCTATCTGTATGTGACACTTTTTCAAATTTTTAAGCACATGCCAAGTAAAATAACCTGAATATACAGTCATCCAAAATATAAATCTACTAGAAAATAACAAACCAAGTGGAAACAGATTATGGTACACAATACCCATATATACAGTGCTCAGCATATATATGTACACCCCTTACAAATCCCAGCAAAAATTGGTCCAACGACAACGTCATCTCCCCGTCCAAAAGGGGTCATGGCAGGACAGCACAAATGGTGCACGCATAGTCCGAAATCAACATCTTATCCCAAGCCAAATTTAGTTGCGGCTGGATGGCACAAATTTACAACATGTCATAAAATGCAGTAATAAACGCTTATATACATTTACACATGTTTATATTTAAATGGGGTTGCATGTATTTACAGTTTTATGTAAGTGTAGTTCAATATACCGTCGTGATAAGGTCCACAAGACGTCCTTTATACATGCATTTATAGTCCATCATTACCCTCGCTGAAACTATGAAATTTGCAAAAGTACACTTACATCTGGGTATATACTGCAGGAAATAATATATATGCATGCCTCAAGAGGATTTTAAGAGGTTGTGGACAGACTTTAGGTATCTCAAGACCCATTAAAAACAGATATATCTTTATGAAATACAGAAAACCATTTTATTTACATCTTGTCAAATGAACAATTACATTCATAAAGTGCCCTGTAAGGTTCAGTGATTGTATATAATGCAATTTTATTTTTTCTAATAACATTTTTTCATCAAACTCTAACATATCTCGAGAAAGGACGAGATCTCACGAGATACTATCTCGAGCCTATTGTTTAAATTCATATTTTTAATAGGAATTTGTAATTTTTTTAAGGCTATACAATATTATATTTGTGCATATACATTAGATTAGTCAGTACTGATGCCAAATCTAGAGCTTATTTAAAAACACAAAAGGTTATGATTACGGTTCAAAAACAATTACAACCAAATTTATGTTATAGAAAAATTTTAAATACAAATTTAAAAAAGAGGAAAAATCAAGAGAAGCAATTTTTTTAGATTTAGTTGAAATTTTGTAGGTTGTAATTTGTTTGCAATATTTAGCTTGAATTTAATTGCATTACCTTTGAATTTCTAAATATGTTTGGTGACTAAAATATTATTTTAATAAATATATCTGCTTAATAAATTTGTTTTGTTTTAATTCACCAACACACATTACTTATATCCACTGAGAAATGGAGAAAATATTCATTTTCAAAATGGTGTGTAGTCATTTATGCTGAGCACTGAACAGTATGTATGTACTTATTTATTTATGTACATATGTATATGCATAGGTGAATGTAATTAAATCCCATAAAAACATTATTTTAAAGCAACTGCATAGTTAATAAATCATAAACCAAATAAATTGGCCCCGAGCATAATATTTATTTATATATTCAGAGTTGTAATTAGCCTACAGTATATGTGTGCATTTGAATTTACTGAACAGCTTTACATAACTGATTTTCATTTCCTACAGTATATATTTAATGAAATACATTTGTATTATTCATTATAATAAATTTACAGACGGCCATAATGTGATTCATTTCACAATTCTGCATGTTTCAAACAGCCAAAAAGGGCTAGGAAAAAAAAAGTGAATTTGATCTGAAGTTGTGAATGATGAAACAAGACCAAGCTCTGCATCTGAAGCCCAGTGTTATTCCACACATTTTCTCTTATAAACCCAGTGCAAGCACA